TCATTTCGCAGTAAATTGAAGAATAATGAGTTAATATTATCCATTACGGAATCTAAACTCTCTGCGACAATTGCATACGAAAAACAACTGGTTGAGGATGCTATGCAAGAAGAGGGACATAGAGTATTTGATATTATCAGAAGTTCACCCCGAGTGAAATGTGGACTTTTTGGAGGCTCATGACGATGGTGTCAAAGACACTCTATCTTTTGAGGTTCATGATGTGATATGCCATTTAGTGAGAAAAATATCACAATTGTGGATGGTGAATGGATAACTAATTAGGATTGGAGGTGATGTGATAGGACACGCCCAACTCAACTTTTTGCAGCAAAAAAATCCTCTTTCTTCCCTGTTTAGTCCTTCATTTTTCTTTTAAAACTCAAAATATATGTTACTGGTTAATTTACATCAGATATCCAACAATTATGAGAAGCTTAAATCCAATAACGTAGAAAATGTTATTGTTAACTATAATTGCACTTCATCAACGTTTCATAAATGATTTGACTGTTTATAAATGTTTGCTGAACATATGCATCTAGTTTTTCACTTTAACCATTGTGATTGGGATATCCCATGAGGTCTCGTGCTCAACTTTGGTTACCTGTGGATTGATTTTTTATTTTATTTTACTTTTTTCTAAGAATTTATTTTTCTTTTTCTTAGTTGACTGCAGTAAAAAAGTCTTTCTAAGAGCACAGGGTTAAGGATAGGTTCATCATTCGATGATTTTGAGAACGGAAAATAACAATCGGCTACTAAATCAGGGATGAGTAATAAATCTTGTTACTTCAATCTTGATTGTGAAAAAGTACCTATGTTAAAGTAATAATTACTTACTTTTAAAATAAGTAACTTATTTTTTTATTAATATCTTTTTTTAATATGGACTTAAATATAAACTCAACCGAACATTTATGCCTTCCCAAATTTCCCCTTTTTCACTTTTCGTTCCTGCAATCACGCAAAAAGGTTTGTACCATTCATTGTGTCCCCATAAATGTATTAGTAAAGTGAAAACTTTGTGTCTTTTTACTTTAGTCAAAATCTAGTTGGTGCATTTGTGAGCCACTCTGCCTTTTTAAGCATGATCCTTTCTAATTCTCTCCCAACCTCTAAATCATATATGAATACATTACCCACCCAAAACATAAAAGTCCAATAGAGCATAAGTGGTCTTCTCGTCTAAAAAGTTAAGAAAATAATTTAGAGTTAATTAGGTTAATAGTTATTGAAATTTTAAGTAATTATTCAAATGATCATTTAAATTATTTTTTTGTGATAATAGTAATTAAAGTTTCTAATAGTTACATAAATAATCAATCTATTAAGCCCTATTATTTATCTCGTGTTAAGAACGGTGACATGACACATCAATTCAACTAATTCATTTTAATTTCTGAAATGTACCATAAATTTATCCATCAATTAATTGATATGAAATATCAATATTGCTTAGTATAAGCTAATATATTTATTTATATATATGTTTGTTATATCTCTCTTTACATGAGACATCTTCACACATGTCTATCTTATCGAGGCTCTCTCAGAGATAGTGTCCATATCATTGCGTCTTTTGTTTGAGTTACATCTTACCTAACAAAGAATTTTATTACTGATTTTTGCTTTTCACAAAAGTTTAGGGTGTTTTACGTTTGTTGTTTTCAGTTTTCAAAGCACTTTGATATTTTTCAAAATGTATTTTTGAAAACAATGTTAAACTTATAACATAAAACTTAAAACACATTTTTGTTTTTTAGCATTTTCAATGAAAACACTGAAAATAATAAAAGTACGGAAAATAAGTGTTTAAATAAAATTGTATATAAGTAAATTTTATAAATTAAAAATACTAGAAATCAAAAATATAAATACAAAATTATAAAAAAAATAAATTCATAAAATCATAAAAAATATATATATTTTTAAAAATTCTAGAAAAATAAAAAGAGAAAAATAGTTCCAGCTTTTAATTGTTATTTATATAAAAATTATAAAAACATGTATTTAGATGTACACGGACAAAAATTCTCAATCCACGTCAATAATTTTTATTTTTATTTCCTATGTTTTGTTAACTCAATTTATTGTTTTGATAACGAAAAAGAAATATTGTAAGTTTCATAACTTTAAAATGTATATATTCTTTAATAATATTTTAACATAAAATTTTTCGATGTTACTAAATAATAAAATTCAATGGAATAAAATATCATAAAACAATTTCTCAAAATTTCAAACTAAACACGATTTCTAATTTTCTGTTTTGAAAAACAGTTTTACAAAATGATAAGTCAAGCAAATTTTAGCAATCTTAAAATAAACCCTAAAAACAGGGAAAAAAAATTAAAAATGAACTCAAAACTAAAAACTGAAACAGAACACAAATGGACCCTTGAATTTTATCTATTTTGATATCGACTTACGCATTACAATTCACTATACTTTTATCGAACTTGTATCAAGGTTAATGAACTTTAATTTGGCAACTAAAGTGTAAAATAGTCACTCTATTAGCATCCATTAGTCAACTTAACATCTAACATTGATGTGAACACTAAAAACCACAATTTTACTAAAAACAACAATTTTTAAAACGTTAATTTTTATCAAACAAAACACTTTTTCTGGCCAAAATCTCTCACCCTATGAAATTGTTTGAAAATGTAGTGTCATGATTGTGGTCCGTGAAGGAATAAATTGTTAAAGAACATTGAATGTATTTATTTTTATACTGTCCATAGTTAATAATAACGTTAATTAAATTTAAATATGTTTCTTGTAAGTAATAATTAAAAAGTTACATACCGTGGGTTAAATCGGTGGCACTTGAGCAGTTGAGCTTCATTTAATATCTGGCTGAAGTGTCTTAAATTAGCTTCATTTAATGTATGTCTCTGGATGATATATTACCATAAATCATTACGCCAAAGATGAACTTGACATTAAATATATCGGTCGATTAGGTGACATTTTGGACGGTGGATCAATTATAAGAATGAAATAATGTTAATGCACATTCTACACGATATGTAGACGCAAGTTGAAGACAGCTATAATGAAAGTTGACTAAGCATTATATATAGGGATGTCCGTGGGTCGGTTCGGTTCGGTTCTGAAGAGACCCGAACCGACCCAAAACTTTCGGGTATTTAATAAATGGACCCGTCGGGTCCAAATATAATTATGGAACCGTTCGGGTTCGGTTCCGTTCGGTTCGGTTCGGGTCGGTTCGGTTCCGTTCGGTTCCGTACTATAATCAAATTTTTTAATATTTACAGCAACACTACATAAATACAACTAATGACATTTCATTCGTAACTTTTACAAATTAACGTAACCCAATTCAAAAACTTATATATAACTAGCCGTCCAATAAAATTAATTCAATGCATACAAATACGAAAAAGTAGATATTAATATTACAGCAACACTACATAAAGTATATTCATTTGCTTCAAATTAAAATGTGTTAATGAGATTTAAAAATGATTTGAGTTTTAAAATTATAATTATAAAATAATCTGATTTATTTAATTAAATTGCTAATTTGTTTAGAAAAAATAAAATAATTTAGTTAATTCAATATAAAAAATAAAAAAATTATTTAGTTTCGATTCTTATTCGGTTATTTGGTTCTTGGTCTAGACCCGACCCAAACCCATCGATTCTCGATTCGGGTACCCGTTCGGGTATTTAATTTTCGAAGAATCGCTCGGTTTAGTTCGGTTCGGTTCGGGTTCGATTTGGTCAGATTCGGTTCGGGACTTTTGGACACCCCTAATTATATATGTCTCCCGATGGATTATAGAGAAAATAATTTTACCAAATGAATTATTCCATCACCGATGCATAGTCAAAAAGGAATCCACTTCTGTCCGTGAAGATCTTACGAGATGGCCATCTACTTTCAATAGTTGATAAACTATATCAAAATGATTTTCAATGAGTTCATAAGAAGTGATAACATATTTTCAATCGATCAAAGATTTTAAGTAATTGATTCGGTCAAACATTTAAAGGAGAAAGAAGTATAGTTATCTAGCCCCTTCTTGGCTTCATTTAAAAAAAAAAATAATTGTTCCTCAAGCTTATTTTTAACTGCATAATTCATACGATTCACAACTTTCATCAAATTTTCTTTCAAAATTTTTATTAACTTTTATCAAAATTTACTATAAATCTAATTCAATCATGCTATAAGTACATATTTTTTTGATAGAAAATTTTGATAGACAACACTTGGTGCAACCCCATTGGAAGATGGGAAAACATGGGAAAAAAAAGGCCAATCAAGTTTGGCAACGTTAGCGTCGATATCAATTCCATTAAAATTTTCCAGTACTTGAAACTTTATTGAATTTGATTTTTAGGGCTTAATTAAGTACATAAGTACAATGAATTAATTTTTTTGGTTAATTTACTTAAGTAGATTAATTCATATTCAATTGATTATATAGGTAAAATGCAATGAATTATTAATTAAGCCCTTGTTGATTAAAATAATTTCTTTTGTATATTTTAATAAAAATTGATGAAATATGTAGTTAAAAAGTTGTTGATACCAAACAAGGGTTAAATGTATGTTCGATTAATTAATGCCTCCTTTAATTAATAAAATTTATATGGTCCTTACATGTAATTAACTTACAAGAGTTGAAGGAGTAAAGTTTATACTTTAAAGTACTGCTTTATCCTTCAACCAATACTTTTTCCCTCCACTTTTACTTTTAGTTTTCCGGTTCTCCTCTCTCACTGTACACACACGCACATACACGCTGGGATATGGAAGAATTTGCCTGGTCCCAGTTTTGACACCCCAGAACATCATCATTGCTCTCCCACCACCTTACATACTCACAGAAATCCAAAATAAAATCATTAGTTTTCTATATATTTGGTAGTTAAGCAGCTCCTCAACGAACATTCTGAATTTCCAAAATTCACACTGAAATCTAGAGTTTGTAAAGTTATTTTTTTCTTTGTTTTTTTTCATGGCTGAAACCACGGATTCAGTCACAAGAGAGATCATCAGCCCGAGAGTCCAAATTGATACTTCACCGCCGTTTGAGTCAGTTAAGGAGGCGGTGGACCGGTTTGGCGGCAATGGACCTTGGATTCCTCATCACTGGCTTCGTTTAGCAGCTGATCATGTCGGTCCCATCTCTTCTTAACTCATATCTTAATTTATTTTTAAGGCTGCTTCTGTTGGGCACCAAGTATTTGTAAGAATGTTTCTAAGGAAAATGACTTGTTTCCCTGTTCATATTTTCATTGTTTTTGTTTACTCATTAAAAATTTATTACTTGTTTGCTTTTATGAAATGAACAAGGGATCTAATGTACTAAAGTGTGATACACAAACTTTGTGTTTCTACCCAGGAAGGGTTAACTGTTAACTTGCATACATGTGTATGGAGACTATGTTAACCATACTGAGATTGGTATTTACATTATAATTTTACCCTTTAACTAATGTTAGTACAAGAAAGCCTTTTCCAAATAAATTTGAAACGTGTTGCAAGAATCTTTTTCCATTAATTTAGTGACACCCACGAAATGTTTTGAGAATCGTGTCATAAGATTTGGTGGTGTAGTTTAAGCTGGTTGTCTACCTACTACAGTTCTCTTCAGTTTGCACGGGCTTGGGACCAACTATGGAAAGAGAGGTGGAGTTTTAATTGATTTCTGAGAAAAAGAAAAAGAATTATATCTCATAATGAAAGAAAATGGAAACATATACCTAGGAGTGGCTGGAGACTGGAGGTCTTCAATTTTATAAATCGCTTGTTTTTTTCTTTTTTTTGTTTTTTTCACATTTTAGTTTGTCTGCTATAAAATCTGCGCATTTACGTTCAGAAATTATTTCCAAAAAGTTCTACATTGAAACAAACAGTCTTTTTGTCACTCATGGTTGGGAGAGTGCTTAGAATGGATCCCTTGTGGTTCTATGAGTACAAGTGGTCTGAGTACATGAGAGGGGACATAAAAAATTAAAGTCTTACCTGTGACGATTGCATCAATGAAGTATAATCTATCATCTTATTATTGCAGAAGTCCGATAAATTTTATTTATTGCAGAATGACAATGACGCCTTTGACATGGAGAAAATGGAGGAACAGGCAGTGCAACTGGAAAGGGATCTCATTGTGAAAGAACAGGAAACACTTAATGTCTTAAAAGAACTGGAAGCAGGGAAAAGATTTGCTGAATATTTAAAAATGAGCTTGATGCAAGAAGTGAATTCATTCATGAGCAGTCCTGATAGTAAATTGGACAGCAGTACTCCAGTGTCCAATCAGAACACGACTGGAAGGTTGAGCCTGTATCCTGTTCCATCATCCGGTTCGATTTCCTTGGACCTGAATCAGGCGAAATTGGACCTTAATAAGATGTCAATAGATCTTGATGTAATCCGGGGATCTGTTGAGTCTCTGAACACAAAAATGAGAAAAGAAAAGGTTATGTTTGAAAGGAGAACCAAGAGGCAAATACCAACTTCTGAAGGAGTCTTGTCGTTTAAAGAGCATCAATATACATCTAGTGAAAAGCCAGATATATATCAGAAAGTAGAAATGAAAGATGGCTCCGGGAATTCTCTGAATCTCTTCAAGGAACTAAGACAAATGAATTCTGAGACTGAGCAATTCAAGAAGATAACAGAGGCGTCTAGATATGAGGTATTGAAGGCAATGGTAGAGATTGAACGAACGAAGAATAGTATTAAAATGGCAGAAATGAGGTTAACTGCTGCCAAAAAGATGGAAGATGCTGCCAAGGCAGTGGAAGCAATCGCTTTTGCCGAAAAAAGTGCGCTATTCAATGGTGAGAATTTATCAGATGTTCACCAACCTAATGAAATAACTCTGTCGTTTGAAGAGTATCGTGCTCTTCTTAAAAAAGCGCAGCAAGCTGAAGAGGTGTGTAAGACCAAATTTATTGAGGCGAATGCCACAACTACAATCAAAGACACATACCAACCCGAAGTGGCTATTGTTGAGAAGTTTGAGCAGCAAATCGAAAACAATCAATTCAGAGAAGTTGATTTTGACGATGGAACTCATAGAACAGACGTTTCGTCTGAGGAATGCTATCCTAGAATGCTGATGGAGCATGGTCGAGTGCTTAACCCAGAGATTCACTCTGCTAAATTCAAGTTTAGGAATTCCCATCCCTCTCTTGGTCATAGGAATCCACAGGTTACTAATGGAAATGAATCATACAAGAAGAAAGAAAAGTCAAAATCTGGTTTCAAAACAACTTCAATCGGAAGTATACTAAGTAGAAAATTGATTCTACAAGACGATTTCATGGTGGGAAAGCACGTGGAGAACCACACTGAAAGGCAACACATTTCTTTGAGCCAAATGCTCCGAGAACAGAGTCGACATATTTTAAATCCTAGGAAACCGATGTCTGATGGGAATGTTGAAAAGCAATACTTCATTCAAAGGAAGAAATTTGGGTTTATTCAAGTACCACTATCCAAGCCAAGCAAGAAAAAAACACAGCCTTTGAACATGAGGTGACTAGCTTCCAGGAGAGTTAGTTCAAAGTATATGCTAGTAGAGTTTTCGTGCTCTAAGTATCGTGTATGTTTTCGGTGTGTGAGTGTTGGGTTTGATACTCAGTTTCTTATGATTTCATTCAATAGTGTATATGATGTTTATTTGTATGAGAGCATGTTAGTGCTGCTTGTGTTAGTTTACTGTCATTAGTTGCAATCCAGTAACAGGTAAATCAACAGATACCTCATTTTAGCTTCTCACCGTGTAATCTTTTTCTAATATGTATATTGGAAAATGGATCTTGGATTGCCATTTGGACTAGTTAGACTCAAAAGCGTTAATTCTATGTTCTTGTTATGGCCTTTGGTTTTTATTCGGTTTTGGAATTTTTCATGTAAATTCTTGTTCTCTTGTTTATGTTATTATTTTCTATTTTAATTTCTATGTTCATCTTGTTATTTTCTCTGTGGAGGATCTTGGGAGTGAATCAAGTAATTGGTCCATAATCTCAACACAAGAAGCATATTAGAAATTAGTTTTTGAGACCTAGCTCTAGAAGCCATATAATAGAATTGAAAGTCATGCTCTTTCTGGAGAGTTTAAAGCACTGCTTTAACCTTTAACCACTACTTCTTCCCTCCTGTTTTACTTTAGTTCTCCAATACTCCTTGTTGACCCCGAAAAGTGTAGCCAACAGATGTCGGGCCCACTTGTGCACGTGCAAGCCTTGTCCAGCACGTGTGTGCCGAAGAACGGTCAGAAAGACTCTAGAAGGTGGGCGTGGGAGGAGCTCACCCACGAGAGGTCAAAGTTCGGGCCTCCGGCAAGATAGATGGAACGATTGTATAAGAATCCAATCGATGAATAACGAGATTTGTAATTGTAGATCTGTAGTTGAAATGTACGTTGAAGAACAAGAGGAAAAATATTGCTCCAAATGTTTCTATATTCTTTTTATTTGGTGTGAGAAGTTTCATTCCCCTTTTTGTGTTACATGTTGGGATATTTATAGTGTTACAAGTCGAATAATGATCTTTGGATTAATTTACACGTGGCCTCATCTCCTTGGCCAAGACATCAAGTCCTAGCCATCAAGTTGACCCTCTAGCCCTACACAGCATTAAATGTTCTTACATTGACAAGACAAGACATAGAGTTTACTTTATACAAAAGTCACGTCAATCATTCACACGGATCATTCATCATTGCAATATCTTTCCATTTGGTCTTCTTCCACGCGAAGCTTGGGCCTGGGATGGCA